AATCTATTATACGAATCTCGAAAACTTGCTTTTCAAGACGGTTTCTGGAGGCGATTTTTCAAGTTCTCCATTATCAACCTGAAACTTTTATTGTTCAGATATGAGCAAAGAACGTCTTACTATTTAGAATATATATGCTCGGGAAAGTGCCATAACCTCTGTGTCATCCATAACAGAATTTCTTAATGCAAATGGACCTGATTCATTGAGTGAGACTGCAACAGTTTCAGTGAAACAGATATTATAGTTATGCCTGCCACAAATGGGTGAAAGTTCTCTCAGTGCCTAACAAAGAATCAAGACTTACCTTAGGTCTATCATGACGCAAAAAAAAAAAAAAAGAAAATAAGGATTAACAACCTTTTGCGCGCTGATGTCTATATACAAGGAATACCGGAACAAATTGATGTTGCTAACGACTTTTACACTTAAAACTCTCTCAGGTTGTCAAAATATGGGCACTTTTCAGAAGTCGACCTACGTAAAAACATTTAGCTAATTATTAGTACTGATGGAAACCACTATATTTTCAACTACGGTGGACATATTGGTTTATAAAAATTCCATAACCTCCACTGCAGTAATCTAGCAATTTTGAGTGGACATTCGGAGCGCGGACACCGACCGGTCCTTTTTTTTCTATCGTCTGGTACAGCCTGTCTATAATATCTGTACTATACTGGCAAATTGTCGTCATTTCAGACTAGGTATTCAAATGCATGTTACGTAGCAGTTCACAGTATTGCTGTTGTTGTTGTTGTTTTTCTACTGCAATACATGGGGGTTAAACATCGCTTGAAGATAGCTTGATAGTGGATATAAACTATATTTATTTATGTAAAAGTGTTTAATAAATGACCCAGTCTGCATTAGAGCAAAACCCGGACATCCACTTTATTAATACGGGCACTTTCAATGGCCCCCTCGGTGTCCGTATTAACGAGGTTTGACTGTTTAGACTTTCAAGATTTGGCAGGGGGGGGGGGAGGGGTCTCGGCCCACAACGTCGTGCCCTCTCACTTTCAACTTCTTTCCTATGGGCCTGAGAACGTGGTACACTTATGTGCTTCTTCGCTTGCATTTTGTTGTTGTTGTTGTTGTTTTTTTCTTTCTTTTTAACGCCCTGGTTCAGATATGAGCTGTTAAAGCCCGAGCCCGAGTCTAAACTGTGGCAAACTAGCCGGTTTAGTGTACTAGTTTGATCTCAGATTTGCTTCTTTATTTTGAATAGATTTATCTGATTCCCGATAACTGGCACTCTCCCCGATAACAACACACTGGTTCACTTCTGAGTTCGCTCGCTTAGAACGCGCTGGCTCAAATATAAACTCCAATCTATTAAACTAGGCACAATTTAAAATAGCACAAAAACATTTGAAACTCGTGTTTTTTGCCCATCTGAAATGCCCAGCGCGAACGTCAAAAGAAGTAACGACCGCCTGGATGAACAGATAAACAACTATACCACTAAAACACCAATGATATGACGACGTCATACACAAAACCGCGGGCTCTGATTAGTTCTTGTGTTAGCGATTTGTTACCTTACTTTACGCGTCAGTCGAGTTTTTTTTTGTTTTTCGTCTGTACAATTCTTCGTGCATCGGCACTATAATGCTGCCGCCTCGCCAGCCTCGCGTTTTCGTTGAATAAACTGTTGTTGTTGTTGTTTTTGTTGTTGTTAGCATTTGTTAATATTAATAATTATTATTATTGTAATTCGTATCATTTTAATGTGGTGGATCGCGCTTTACAGCGATGGTTCAAGCCATAGTTTTATCAAATTGGGAAGTCTTTTTTGTGTATGTGTGTGTCGATATCAGTCGTTGCACTTCGTGTATACGAAATAAATGCATAACAATTAGCCCAAAGTATCCCCCGCGACCTTTTAAAACGTCGAATTTCACATGTGCCGAATTTAATGTTACATTTAACTGCATGTCAGATAACAAATCTAACAAGAATCAAGACTTTAAAGAAAGAAGCCAAGAAGGACCCCGAAATGTCCGCAAATATCGAAATAATCGCAAAAGTAACAAGGATTTTTCTTGCTAATTGAAAACACCCGTGACAAATATTTCAAAAATCGCAAATTAACAATTCTAACAAGAATTAAGACTTAGAAAGCAAAGAAGCCGAGAAGAGCCCCGAAATGTCGGCAAATATCGCAAAACCCGCAAAAGTAACAAGGATTTTTCTTGCAGGCTAAAAACACCCGTGATAAATATCGAAAAAGTCGCAAAAATAACAAATTTAACAAAATTCTAGACTTACAAAAAGAAGAAACCAAGAAGGGCCCCGAAATGTCCGCAAATATCGCAAAAACCGCAAAAATAACAAGGATTTTTCTTGCGGGCTAAAAACACCCATGACAAATATCGCAAAAAATTGCAAAAATAACAAATTTAACAAATTCTAGACTTACCGAAAAAAAAAACCAAGAAGGGCCCGGAAATGTCCGCAAATATCGCAAAAACCGCAAAAATAACAAGGATTTTTCTTGCGGGCTAAAAACACCCGTGATAAATATCGCAAAAATCGCAAAAATAACAAATTTAACAAAATTCTAGACTTACAAAAAAAAGAAACCAAGAAGGGCCCGGAAATGTCCGCAAATATCGCAAAAACCGCAAAAATAACAAGGATTTTTCTTGCGGGCTAAAAACACCCGTGATAAATATCGCAAAAATCGCAAAAATAACAAATTTAACAAAATTCTAGACTTACAAAAAAAAGAAACCAAGAAGGGCTCGGAAATGTCCGCAAATATCGCGAAAACCGCAAAAATAACAAGGATTTTTCTTGCGGGCTAAAAACACCCGTGATAAATATCGCAAAAATAACAAATTTAACAAAATTCTAGACTTACAAAAAAGAGAAACCAAGAAGGGCCCCGAAATGTCCGCAAATATCGCAAAAACCGCAAAAATAACAAGGATTTTTCTTGCGGGCTAAAACAAGCCATGACAAATATCGCAAAAATTACAAAAAATAAAAAATTTATCAAAATTCTAGACTTACAAAAAAAAGAAACCAAGAAGGGCCCCGAAATGTCCGCAAATATCGCAAAAACCGCAAAAATAACAAGGATTTTTCTTGCGGGCTAAAAACACCCATGATAAATATCGCAAATATTGCAAAAATAACAAATCTAACAAGAATCAAGACTTAGGAAAAAAGAAGCCAAGAAGGGTCCCGAAACGTCTTCAGATATCGCAAAAATCGCAAAAGTAACATGGACTAAGTTTCTTGCTAGCTAAAAATATCCATAAGAAATATCGCAAATATCGCAAAAATAACAAATGTAACAAAATTCCAGACATACAAAGAAAAAAGCCAAGAAGGGCCCCGAAATGTCCTTAAAGTGTATCGCAAAAATCGCAAAAGTAGCAAGACTTTTTCATACCAGCTGAAAACACCCATGACAAATATCGCAAATGTCGCAAAAATCGCAAAAGTAACAAGGATTTTTGTTACTAGCTAAAAATACCCATGACAAATATCGCAAAAATCGCAAAAACAACTACAAATGTAACAACATTCAAGACTTAGAAAAAGAAGAAGCCAAGAAGGCCCCCGAAATGTCCGCAAAAATCGCAAAAGTAACAAGGATTTTTCATGCTAGCTAAAAACACCCAAGACAAATATCGCAAAAATCGCAAAAATAACAAATCTAACAAGAATCAAGACTTAGAAAGAGAAGAAGCCAAGAAGGGCCCCGAAATGTCCTCAAAAGTGGCAAAAAACGCCAAAGAAACAAGGATTTTTCTTGGTAAGTAAAAACACTTAGTAACAAATATCGCAGAAATAGCAAGAAAAAAAAAATAAACTAAGTTGTAGACAACGGCTACTGGCTACATTTAGTGAACGTCAATAGCAGAATCTGTAGAGGGGCTTTTCTGGGAGAAGAGGGAGGGGAAGGGTGGATAAGGGTTAGGGTTTTCGTTTCAAACACCGATAGTAAAGTCTTTACTTTGGGTTGTATAATTAACAGCAGTGGCGAGTACACTTATTTACCCCGGGTTCAATAAAATTCAGTTTAAAAAAATTGGCAAATAATTGTGACAGTAGGCTTGTTATAGCGCTTTCTTAGTAGCAATTTAGTGTTCTACAGTATGCCAATAATGGGTCAGACTGTATCTGTGACAATGTAATTTTCATTTTGGGGGTTTTTTGTGGCTTTAAACACAAAGAGTATTTCTTAAATCTGAGGTTGTAAGTGAAGCAATCACGGTATGACGTTTTGTATTTCTATGGCCTAGGTCTTTTGGTCTCTTTTCTCGGTGGTTTTGTTATAATTGTTCATGATTCAAGAGTAATAGAACGAAGCACACATAAATGCACAATTGGATCAATTGTTAATTAAAATAAATGGATTGGCATACGCATATAAATAACATTCCTTAGGGTGGTTGTTGTTTAACTATAATCCTTGATTTAAAAGGGAAGGATTACCAAATCACCGGCAATCCCTGTTTTAAAATCTTTGGGTATTTCACAGCAACATTCATGTATAATGTCCGTTTTCTTTCCCCTAATGTGCTATTCTTGATATTTTGGAACGATTGTTATGGTGGGTTCTTGGCCAGGAAACATTCTGCTACCACCCCCTTTTATTGCTTAAAATTTTCCCCCTTCTGTCGGCGACACTCCTTTTTATGCATTGTAGCTGTATGTTGATGGAAGAACGAAGCATACACAGATTGATATTACAGTTTTTTGCTACTGTCAGTAATTATAAATAGTGTCACGTTTGTAACTGATGATTTCATTTTCGCGAAAATGGAACGCATTACAAAATTACTGGACAAGAACTAATCCCAGTTAAGATAACCATCAGTATTAAGGAAAAACAGTGATGCGCAAGTGTTCTTGGCCCCTTTCTTACCCTTCAACAATTCTTGCCTATTCTTGTTACTCTAGCGTAATTTGTGGCATTGAGGATCTCCTTGCCCTTTTCCCTTTCTAAGGGTAGAATTCTGTTAAATTTGTTATTCTTGCTATTTTTGCCATATTTGTTGCTCAATCTTTTCACATATCATGAAAAATTTTTGTTCCTTTGCGATTTTTGCGAAATTTGCGGACTTACTGAAGCCCTTCTTGACCTTTTCTCTTTCCAAGTGTAGAATTTTGTGAAATTTGTTGTTCTTGCTATTTTTGCCATATTTGTTGCTCAATCTTTTCACATAGCAGGAAAAATTCTTGCTACTTTTGCGATTTTTGCGAAATTTGCGAACTTCACCAAGCCCTTCTTCGCCTTTTCTCTTTGTAAAAGTAGAATTTTGAAAAATTTGTTATTTCTGCTATTTTTGCCATATATGTTACTCAATCTTTTCACATTGCAAGAGAGATTCTTCTTACTTTTGCGATTTTTGCGACATTTGCTATTTCTTCTATACTTTTTCTGATAGCAGTTTTCTTTAAACCTTTTTTGCTAACATTGCGAAAACAACAATTTGCTAGCAAATTTTTGCTAACAAGATCGATCCTGGACATAAATGAGGTTCTTTGCACGAAACGGCCAAAACACCTTGCTGGATGGCAAACGACGCAGCGAGGCAAGAAAAACTAAGATTATTTCATTCCGAAAACTGATATTCTTACTTTTGAAGGTCTTACAGCGTTGTTTGCCGTCCAGCAAGGTGTTTTTTGGACCATGTGACCGTTTCCTTGCAAAGGGCTCATTACAAAGTAATTCTAACGCGGTTCTAAATTACATTCAAGCTGTCCCGTATGTCCCTTATGATCGGTTTGTCTATAAACTACTAAACTTGCAAACTTTTAACCTCACAGAATGAAATAAATAAATTAACCAAGGAGTGGTCACATTAAGTATTGTTTCGCCCTGTAAATGAGATTCTGATTATCTTACCATGGAGTCCTGTTGTGTCCTAATGAAATCTTTGGTAACAGGAGTGCAAGTCTCCAAGCAATGCGTCAGAGTTCCCTCTTCTAGTTCCTCGTTGTTATCAGCGCTGCATAGTTGAAGAGATGCATACACACTACACATTGCAAAAAGAAAACGGTACGTCGCAGATGCTAACATAGCGTGCGTCAACGCTAAATGATATTTGTGCAACGGTTTAAAAACATATATTTAATACTCCCAGCTTTGATAACGTGACTCGAATATTGGCAGCTGTGGTTGAAAATGAAACATACTACACGTGAAACAATTGGATTTCGTCCACTTACAGAGGAGGGCCCACTAGGCATTTCCAAAATACTAGAAAAGTAGATATGGAGTACCCTGCACCTTCTAGATTTCGAGGGAAAAAAACGCCATTTTAGACGGTAACCAATCAGCTACAAATGAATCATATAGTGACATGGCTTACCGTCGACAACGTTTCAGCCAAGTTCGAAAAGTCCTTCTGTCCTCCACTAGCGACGTTTATGATCTTCTGTTTAAAGTTCCCATTGAAAACAAACTAAAAAGTTTCCAATTTAAGCTCTTACGTAATATCATTCATCGGCCTAGCAATCAACGTCTATGGAAAATGAACTTAAAGACTTTCCCTCAATGCGAGGTAACTTTCCTACTGAAACTACCAATCATAATTTTTCTGAGAGTCAGCTGCCGTGAAAGGTTTTTGGAGTGATATCATACACTGGTGAAACTTCAAACCTTCTGAAAACTTAACACCCAGTGCTCTGCAAATTATATGGTTACGAGCCGAAATCAACACGCTTTCACGCTTTTTATCATCAATCTTCTAACTGCACGGTGCTATGTCCACCTTCCTAGAAGCAAATTAGAGACCCCGAGACTCGATGTCTTCATTGTTCTTCTGAAAACTAAAATTCACCATTAAAACCGAAAACCACACCAAATACAGAAATAAGTATTAAGTTTTTGTTTTGTTTTGTTTTCTTTGTCTGCAACAATATTGCATACGCAATTTGGCTGTATTAATCGTAAAAAATTTTATTAGTGTTTTTTTTTCTTTTTGGAAAGAGTTATATGGCTAGCTTGTTTTACTATAGTATGTAGCTTTGTTGTATTACGGTAACTTATTTATTTAATATTGATGGTAATAAAAAATAATTAAATTGTCCACAATACTCTCGTTTTTATTTTAATAAAATTTTAACTCTGAGAAGTGTTAATTGCGAGAAAAACAGTCATAATATAGCTGTTTTATTTGCATTTAGAGAGTACGTGAATTGTTGAAATTAATTAAGGAATTGTTCTTCGAACTCTTAGTTTAGAGCTAATACAATATATAGATTTAGCCAGGGCTAAAAGCGAAGGTGCGGGTACCGTTTATATGTTAATGATGAATTTAACAACTAATTTCAATTAGTTGTTCTCTGTTGTTCCCGTCTTCGCTTGTTAGAGTCACTAACTGTCAGGTGGCCGGCGCTGCTCCGTGAGACCGAGTGAAAGGTTGCTCAGTGATGGTTTCCGAGGTCCTCCATGTATTTTACTTTGCTTTTTCTTCGTCAAGATATTTCTCCAACAAAACAAAAACATACTCCTGACTAGGAGCTGACGGGGCCAACTTTTTAAATCCGAATAAATAAGCCATTGAGACCATTCATACAAACCACGAGTGCAAATATTTTTTTTTATCTAGTATCTAGATATTGGTGTCAGGGAATCGAAACCGAATTCTTTCGATTTCCCAATGGATTATATATAACAACAAGTTGCCTATTTCAATATAATGAAATTAGAAATGTTTATCAACTTTCTCCCGGCCAGTTTGCAACAAGAAAATGAGAAAACAGGCTCGATCATCGGACCCGGGAAGACGGCGGAAATCGAGTCTAATGAGAAAACGCATTGTCAACATCGTTATATTTTTGTAATCAAGAACTCTATTTCGTTTCACCATTTTTGTTTTTCTAATTCCAGAAGAGGTTATTTTGAAATCTCGCATACTCAGTGATCATTATCGACAGTCTACTCAGTCTAGTAAAGTCAGAAACTTGTATAAAAAAATGTTGTTTCTCCCGTGGCGCTCAATACAGATGATAGCCAGGCTATTTAGTCTATTCTGTCCCATCGTGCTCCGAAGATAGGTCTTCAAGCGCCGAAGGCCGCTAAAAGATCGCTTTTATGATCATACAGCCTCGTACCCAGGCCAGTTCGCGCTATCCGAGTGACCAGAGGAGGCCTGGAACCGAATTTTCCGGACAAGCTTGACAGGTGACATCACATCTAAAATCGCCTAGGACGACTGGGAGTGAGGTGGCCAGTACGCGGCCAATACGTCTATTTTTTAACTTATATTTTTGTTTTCCCATTTCAGACCACGTGATGTTACCCTAGAGAACTTTCGCCCTCGTATACAAGAGCATAAGTATGCATAACTACTTCGGGGGAGCGCGAAGTAAAGGATTAGCGACGCTTGGGAATGTCCCAAATTTGCCTTTTTGGGGACAAAATTGGGCACGCAAGAGTCTGTAGGAAGATTTTCTTCTTCTTCGATTCCTCGCTGACGCAAATGAATAACTTACCGTTACAGTTAAGACCTTTCCTTCCAAATTGTGTCCGACTTTTGACTTCAACCCGATACATCATCACAAGGAATTCCGTGTGAAACCACTAGGTCGCAGATTCAAGTTTGTTAGTGCTAAGAAACTCCATAACAAGTTTATCTAATTTTCCTTTAACCCTCAGCACATGTTTAGAGGGAAACATTATAGCGGAGCTCTGGCGCACGAAGCGCGCCTGCGGAGCACCATGGGTAAGTAAATCTTCCCATCCCAGAAAATTTGGTAATCACGTGACCGTACACCGCCCGCCCTTCCGTCTGCACCACAGGGAAACCAATATTCAATCTCACACTTTCTAGCTAGTCTGGGAGCACAGGAAGACTGATATTGCACACATATTGCACATCAATGTTGTGATCAACTGACAGCTGTCAAAACAGGGTATCCGCTGACCAGTATCACCTGACCGTATCGCGGGCTCAGGTGTCGACCCATCGAGGTCGAGTGTCTTTTTAAAGTTATCCGCTGACAAGTTACTAGTTTTCAAATGATTGCAGGCTCAAGTTTCATTTTTTTTAATTCATATGAACTATTTTGTATTTTATATGTACCGCACAATTAAAATTTTGATTTCAAACTGACCTCGGAAGCTAAAATTTAGCCAGTTTTTACAGGCAGGGAAGCTATTATCCATGGGAAGACATGCCAGTTGCTTTCGACTTTTCTCACCAAGGTCACGCGTTGGTCACGCTCTACGTCCAATTTTTATACTCTGATTGGTCAAAATTTGACAGGTGAGTTCATGCGGAAAATTTATGCAGCATCTTAAATCTTGTTTACTTTGACAGCTGAAGCTGACAGAGTTTTGTTTCAACTTGTGATGTTTTTAACTGTCTTTTTCCACTGGATGTACAAAATGAAATTCAGCTGCTATAAAGAGTCTTCTGTTATTCATGGCCAGTTTGTTTATTGGGTTTTCGGTTCAGAAATACGTCGCTTTGGCAAAGTCGGAAATCCGATTTCGGATTGCATCGTTTTCGTTTTTCACCTTGCTTGATGCGTAAGACGGTTGAAAAGTCTGAAGC